TGTTTGGTGTGACTCGCCCAGAGTTCCCCCATTGGGGGGAGATGGGCGGGTGAGAAAATTAATTAAATAAACAAATATAGTTTGCCTCCTCAATTGAGGTTTCTCCTGGCTGTAGTTAATTAAGACAAATTTCAGCTTTTTTTCTCCCTGCTTTGGGATAAATAGTAGCAAAATGCAAGACAAAGAGTCTTTTAATGAAGGAATGAAATGCACACAGTTAAAAGCAGAGTTTCTATAGGTTTGTGTCAACACTGGATAACTAGTCACCGATTTCACTGGATTCTTCCATTAACCCAAACAATTTTATTGTAGATGCCTATACTATTAATAAACACATCGGTTAAATGAAACATCTGGATACACTGCTTTTATTTCATGTATATTGTAACCATAAAATTTGAACTGTAATACATTAAAGGTTTTTGTAATGATAGTGATTCCCCATTGCTTATAACTTGTCTAGACAACACAAGAAGAATAGATGGTGGAAAGAATTTGGCTGTCACTGGGTAAACCGCATTAGTAGTAGTCCGGCACACAGCCTAGTCTGGGGAAAGAGGAGTGTGAGGACTTGAAAAAAAATGCAGGAAAATTGATGTGGGAAAATGGAAGGATTTACCTGGCCTAGAAGTGAAGAAGTCTGAAAATGCACACTTAAAAAAAAAAAAAAAAAAAACTGCCAACATTTTGCTCTAGACCTCTGTTTATGGCAAATCTGCAGTGAACTGTGTCATGTGCTCCAGTATGTTATTAGGGAAGATGGGATACAAATGGAATAAACAAGCATGTTCAAGTTAATATTTGATATGTGTTTTGAAAGGCATTGGCTACATAAGAACAGAACATAGGTCTTCGCGTATGGTCTCTGATTTCAGTAGTCTTAAATGACCTAATCCTGTTGGGTTATGGCTGCTGTCCTTAAATTTTCAAAAGCTGTAATGCAAATAGCAAAAAATGAAGGCAATCAACTTCCTCTGTTTTTTCAGTACAATGTGTTAAAGGAGGAATGAGAATAAGAAAACCTGCTTCCTCTCCATTAGGAGAAAAGGTCCATGATGAATACTTTCTTTTTCATTCCCTGTTACTGTAATATACCAGAATCAAATTATAATTTTCTTTGTGCATGCACACAAATTAATAAGTACTAATAAAAATTCCCTATATAAATTAAAATTGCCTCTGCTTGAGCAATAAAATGCATGAGCCACTGGAATTCCTAGACTTTGCTGTGAGTCTCTATATCAGTATATATGTACCTATTGGGGGTGGGGAGTGACATTTTCTTGGCACAATATATAAACCATCCTTTACATTCACAAAATAAATGAGAGTGCTATCCATTTCCTAGAATTGTTTCAAAGAAGAAGCTTATTAGCAGAGGAATCATAGGAGCCCAACCTTTTGTTTTCACTTCTTGGCTGAATATAACTATGTTGGTCATTTCTAGTACATTTAAAATTATTTCCTCCCCAGGGTTAAGAATTCACTTATCAAGGCATGATTTTTCCATTTGATCTGCCACAAGCCAGGATACCTGTCTCCTACATTTCAAGTCTGTCATGACCCGAAGAGATTAATAGAGGATAATTTGTAACTGATTCCATTCTGTTGTTTGGTTCCTTAGAAAAGCTCCAGACCCTTCCATTTTAGTTCAAAGGTGGTGGTTGTTTTTGTCCGTAATTCTTTCATTTTCCTAAAACCTGTCAACAGAATAGAATAGTTGGAGTTCCTTAAGAATTTGAAGTAGCTAATCTGTGTAGGGTAGAGCCACAAACCTGGGCTTCTTCCATGATCTTAGCTTTAAGAGCAGATTCACAAATGGAACTGTAGACAGGAATGTTAAAATATTGGCTTAATATTGGTTATTGCTAGTGCTTTTTCAGAACCACATAATGAGGTTTTGCAGTGAGGAAAGTCACGCTGGTGTCAGTGAACACTATTTAAACAAAGCCTACTTAGACAACTGAGTTGCTTTTGCAGAAGGGTTCTATAGCTCCTGTGGAATGTCTCTTCAGCAAAATGTTATGAGGGATTGTTTAGATCCTGCTTCTGATAGAGCACTTGATTTCTGAATAAGCCACAGAAGGTGCTGTCGGTTTGTTCTACTATAAATCAACACTATCTTGCGGTATAGCTGAAATGTTGTAACCGTTCAACTTTTGTCCCACATGATATAAGAATGCAGGCACTGCTGGAAATGGCACTGAGCTAGCTTCCATAAAAGTATAATGAAACTTCTCCAATGTTACACTTAAACAGACTAGCCAGTTTTGAATTATCTGAATTTAGAATTAAATGCCTAGCTGGAGATACTTGTTAACATCCTTATAGGTGATATATAGTATTGGGATTGAAAACAAGGTGCGTGTGTACGGAAAAGAAACAGACATATGAGTTTCAGTGCTTGCACGTGACAACTGCCTAACAGGGTATGTTGGAGGAAATCAGTGTGCAAGGGCACTGGCAGCATGCACTTTATAAGTCCCAGGCTCACACAGTCTGTCTCTACTTTCACTGTTCAGTTCATTAGCTTTTTTTTATTGCAGTTGGCTACTGTCAGATGTAGTTAATTCTTCAGATTCCTTTGCTTTTCCCTTTTCTGTAGCAAAGGAAGTTGGATACAGTATTGTGGCAGTATATTGGCATCCTGGACTTTCACGTGATCCTGCTAGGAATATATAAACTAAATAATGAGCTAAATAATTGAGAAGGAAATAAGAGAAGCCACAATAATCAAGGAAATTGGTAAGGTATTAGGGAACATTTTCCAAGCTTAAAGATTTATTTAAATAGGACTCATCAAGCATGCCCAAATTTATACCAACAGATTTGTTGCAGAGAAGTGAGAATGTATCATGACATCAACCAGGCTAAGGAAAAGTCCTGAGAAAATTAAGGGAAGTGTGGCAGACAGGCAAGTAATTAGCTTGACCTTAGAAATCAATGCATGAATATTATCTTAAGAAACAATGGGTATGAGATGCATGCAAACAAAGAAAGAGACAAAAATATTGAGGATCTTTGGAGAATCACCATAGGCAACAGTTCTCTGAAGTGAATAAATTAGATCCAAAAAAAGCAAGGTGTTTGATAGAGAAGACAGGCTACTCCACTGTGTGGCAAAGTCAGATAATAAAAGTTGAGTGCTTCTAAGAGGAGTAAAGCAGGAAGCAAACCTGACTGTCATGAATCCTACTTCCAGTTTACATTAATAAACCTCCAGATCAATTGGACTCCATGTTAATCATGGAGATTGTGTATGGATTTTCCATCTCCATATTCCATTAAAATATTTCAGAAAAGATGTTAAGTTGAATAGTGAGAATGTTTGAAATCCAATTTTCTGTTGGGGGGTCACATTTTAGATTTAGCAGAAGGGCTAAATTGACCCCTGTATCCCCACCCAGAGCTGAATGACAGATCAAAGGCTTTTCTTTGTATGAATAGTGGAAGAGGGTTTGGCAGAGCTGGTCCTTGAGCCCATTTTTCTTCTGGTGCCACCTAGCTGCATTAGAACTACCATTCCCAGGCTTCCTGAGGGCTAAAACATCAGGACAACCATGATCTGTTGAAGCACGTAATGAGGAGGAGACTTTGTCTAAGCCTCACACAGTTATGCTGCAGAAGACAGCATTAGCAGCCACTACTTGTATCTCTGTTTCAGAGAAAATCCTGGTATGATGTGTAATAAGTATGATGGAGGAGGGGTATCCTGGGAGGAAGCATTTGGGGGCAGAGTTGGCTCCAAAACTTCCAGGTATTAACCTTGACTCCAAATGTTTGTGTAACTAGACAGTAGCACAACCCTCCTGGATTCTACTGATCACCTATAAAGAATGGAGTTTGGGAGATTAAAAGAGTATTTTGTGGAGATGGGGGCTTGGAATGATTTTTTTTCCCTTTCCCCATGCCTTTCTTTGTGATGCCAGGGCTAAGTTCTGGTAGGCTGCAAAGCCATTTTTACTCATGTGGGTGGACTTTTCATGGCTCTGTTCATTTCTTTTCAAGAAATGAAAATTGATGCTCTGAGTATGTGCTTACATGTGCATTCATCTACATTCTTCTAAAGGGCATCATGAAAACAGAAGATCAACTGAAGCTAAGAGTTTCTGTGGTAGGGAATCACTTTAATCCCTTGGGGAACCATTCATCAAAAAAGCTACCGTGTCTTTGCTATCATTAAAGCAAAAATGTTTGACATAATTATTTTCACCACACCCTTACCACACCAGGCCACCCAGCCTCTTCTGTTGTTTCCTTTGAATGGCAGTTAGAAAAAGGAATCACGTTGTTAAGGGCTAGGGCAGTAGAAGGCATTGTGCTTTTCTGCTTTCTGAACCTCACAGTGTGGAGCTATGATAGAGCTATGCAAGAGAATAATTTATCTTACAGATTTTCTGTATTCCTGTGGTGTCAGTTTGTTGATGAATGCATCCTTTTAAAACAAGGAAGCAGCTAATAAAAGGATATTGTGCAGAACAGACAGAATGTTGCCAGAATATGAGCATGCTTATCATTAACTGTTAAAAATGAGAAAGGAGAAAAAGCAAAAAGAGGGGCATGCTGTGTTAAATTCAGATTCATGCTTGTCTGTATTCCATTGTGGGGACATATTTGCTGTAATCATGCCTCGGTTTACATGCACATAACCTTTGTTTATTTGTATTTTAAGAGGCATAATTCAGAAGTAGAAATAGTTAAAGATCACAGGAATCAGAATATCTGTGTCAGAAATTGGCTGGATTTTTTGTTCTTTAAAAATAATTTTAAAATATATATTTAGTGCCTTAAACAGCAGAGAGGGAAGCATTAGAATCTCCAAATTCTAACGGTTTAGAACAGCAGTTCTCAAACATTTTGGTTTCAGGACCCCTTTACATTCTTAAAAATGACTGAGGACCCCAAAGAGCTTTAGTTTATGTGTGTTATATTATCACACACACATTATCACACAGTATATCAATATTTACTGTATTAGAAATTAAAACTGAGAAATTTTAAAATATTTATTTGACTTCACAGTCCTCCTGAAAAGGTCTCTGGGTCCCTCAGGGGTCCTCAGCCCACACTTTGAGAACCACTGGTTTAGAAGAATTTGGACTGACTTTATTTATTTGTATTTTATATCCATTTTTCAAAGAGTTCAGGTTGCATACACACAGTATTCTCTTCCATTTTATTTTCATATCAACACTATAAGATAAGTTTAGCTGAGAGAATGTGACTGATCTACAGTTACCTAGTCTATGGATGAATGGGATTTGAATTCAAATTTGCATGATAATAACCCAATACTCTTAACTGTACAACATAACATTGGATATAAATTTGCCTTTGTGACAGAAATGTTGAAGATGTGAGATAGACAACAGAGAGAATCAAGTATTTAAAAGTTGGACTTAATGTTGAAATATTAAATACAAGATAGTATTTATTTTTTCACTGTTCTTATAAGAGTTTAAATATATAAAAATTAACAGAGCAGTAGTCTCAAAGGTGCCTAATGAGTTCCATAATATTAATCATGCCACTTAGAAAATATATCATGATTTGCCTACAACGTCAAAGCTCAACCTAATTTGCATTTCAGTCTAAAGCAATTGACAGAATGTGCACATTGCTTCCATAGACCTCGCCAGAATTTAGGAATATTGCATGACTCATACTCTACAATGTTCCTATCATAATGTGATTCTCTTCGATGACAAAGAAGCCCCAACCCTTAAATAGTCTTTATTTCAAAGAAAGAAAGAAATATGAAATGAGTTACATTTGGCCACATATTTCATTGTTTTCTTGTTTTTAACAACAGGAATCTCCACTTCTTCTGCCACCATCACTTCATTCTCTTGTGTTGATTACATCTTTTCCTCTTGCAATTGTAGATAGGGTTCTAACGCTATATAATGCTACCCTGCCAAAGTAAAAATAATCAAGTTGGTTAAAACACACAGCAAAAACTTAAGCTGAATTTCAAAGCTAAAACAAGTACTGAGTTTTAGCTGGGATGATTATTCACTTGGCATACAACAGTGTTAGGTTTTGTACTCCCTGTTCATATCCAGTAGGAGTATAGATCTTTATGCCTAGACCTCGATAGATAGATTTTCTCACAAGCATCCTTCTCTTCCCTCTCTCCCACCCCTCCCCCAATTTCTGCACTTTCCAACGGAAGATTTTACTTACTTCAAAGTGCAAGGAATAGTGATTTTACTTACTTCAAAGTGCAAACCCATCCACATAGGATGGTAATTTGCTCTCCAGATTTTTTTTCTCTTCTCCCTGTCTGACAATTTGGTTAACATAATTTCTCCTTCTCTTGCTTATACAGGTAGTCCCCGGCTTAAGAACGCCTGGTAAATTGATGACCCATAGTCAAGAATGGAGCAAAATTTGAGTTAAATACACAATGGTTCAAGTTCATTACACAATACTACTTATTTGATAATACTGTTCCAGCTTACCTACAAATTTGACTTAAGGACAGACCTTTGGAATGGAACTCATTCTTAGACTGGGGACTACCTATATGTGAATTAAAGGTGAAGACTGAATCCAAATTGCAACATGGAAAATGTCTAATTTAAACACACCAGTATTAAAGGCTATATGGTAGTGCCTTATATTCAAATGTAAGCTTTTTAACTGAATTCATATGTTCAGCCATGATCTCTTTTTTTCATGCCAGTTGCTTTGAGAAAGGAGCTATACTGAAGAGCTGCTTGTCATTCTTCAGGAAGACGTGGGCTGTATCCCTGGTTTCTTAACCAATGTTTGCATGTTCTCTTTCATTCCTTTCCCTTTTTCAAGTCTGTTGCTGCCTACACAAAGTCATCAGAAAGCTGACAAGATGCTTAAAAAGTAGAGCAAGAGGTTGAGCTGAATTTCAAGTTAAGAATTGTAATTACCTAAGGTGCAAAAACCCTTTAGTGACTGGCTGAAGAAGGCAGGGTTCTCATCCTCCCACTTGAGCTGCTGGCTCATTTGATTGATTGACTGATTTCACACGTGCATATGGCCACCCATCTGGGCAGCTGATAATGCATAAACACACACACACACACACACACACACACAAATAATCAACTCCAATAACAACAACAACAACACAGGGCAAAACACACAGTCTGAGCCCTTCTAACATCCTGGCCGTAAAGCCTGTGAGATCTGGATATTGCTTCCTTTTCCTGCTAATTCCCATTCCAAATGATGTTGTCTAGATGTCCTCTGGCCCACAGTTGCTGTCTTGGTTAGGAATAATGGAATATAATAGAATAATGGAATGTATAGTCCTTTGGGAAACAAAGTTTGAAAATATTTATTTCTCTAATCCTTAAAGGAAATAAGTATATGGTGTTTCTTAACCATATATCCATCAGTAATTTCAGTCTGGGATTGACACCAAAATGCCTTTGGTGCCTTGAAGGACATGCTGAGGATAGGCAAGAAGGTATCTAAAAGGTATCACTCCCTGAGCTGTTCACCAATTTTATCATCCCTTGGAATTTATTTATTAATTATTTAAGATTATTTCATATTGTATTTTAATTGATTTTATCTTTTCTGTAAACTGCCCAGAATCACTTTTTAACAAGATGGGCAGTGACAATTTGATAAATAAATAAAAATAAATAAGCCTTTTGGGCCATGCCCACTGTCCTTAAGATCTTTCTGGATTAGTTGGCCTTTGATAGGAAAGGAGCTACTTAAGTTAATGTTTCCAGTATCATGGGACTATCTTACACTATGCTGTGCAACAGAGCTCTATCTTGTCCTCACTGCCATTTTTAATGCATACAGGCAGCCAAGTAAAGTCATGAAAATTTGAAATAAGTCATCAATTTCTGTTTTTCAAATGAGTCTGATGAAACCAGAAATAGTTGGTTCAAGCATACAAACTGCAATTTAATCTGGGCAAAGCAAAAGATGTTGATGATGGGTATTATGTTTAGCTTAGGAGATAATGTTAGAGCTTTCTAGATAGAGTAGGTTGTGTTCTCTGCTTGACGGGTGCTTTTATATCTTAATTTCTCTTTTGAGGTCTAAATTACTTCCACAACAGTTGGGGGTCCATGTTCATGGGATTACATGTCTTGCCCAAATTCCCCCCAGATGTTTTCTACGTATGCATAAATACTTACACATATGCCTAAAGTCAAGTTAGAGTAACCTAACACAGACACACACATCACACAAAGGTCACAAGCCATCCTACTCAGATGGCACTTTTTTTTTTTTTAATCTGCGCTCAGTTGTTACCGACTCTGCAGTGACTGCTTGGACAAGT